TCCCATCAGAGAATGTCCTTAAAAAAAAGAAAGTGAGTCTGCTATTTCAGTCTGCTATTTCATTCTTCTTTCACGTTCATGTGGAAGTAGCATCTTAACTGACATTGCTACAGCTAAATGAGCAGCAAATATATTTTAAAGCTCACTTGGAGGCCTGGGTGACTCAGTGGGTTAAGCGTCTGACTCTTGATTTCAGCTCAGGTCATGATCTCAGGGTCGTGAGATTGCACCCCAGGTAGGGCTCCAAGCTGAGCATGGAGCCTGCTTGAGATTCTCTTTCTCCCTCTCCCTCTGCCCCTCTCCTGGTGTTCTCTCTCTCTCTCTCTCTCTCTCTCTGAAAACAAAACAAAACAAAACAAAAAAACCTCACTCTCCTGATGGATGGGAAGCCATTTGACTAAAAGTTTCAGTAATGCCTTGATGACACAACAAGGGAAACCTCTCACACTGAGCACTGGGGCAAGGACTCTGGAGGAAGTTGGAGGCCTGGGTGGGGGCTTCCACCTGCAGGTAAAATAGGTGTTTGCCATTTCCTCAAATTCCTCGAGACCACCCACAGGCATGAAGGATGGTGAACAAAGCCCGAGGAATGGAGACTATCTTCAAAAAGTGCTTCCTGGAAGATTTAAGGGACAATAAGAAAATAATTTGCTGGTTTCTAAATCAGCTGACATGGCTTTTGATCATTCAGATGGGACAGTTCTGCCTGGAAGGGATCAATCTTTTTTTGTTCCAAAGACTAACACAGATACAAATCAAAGAAGGTGTTCTTTCAATAAAGGAAATTCCAGAGAGGATGCCTAGGCTTAATTAAAATATAACCCTTTGTTTCAAGGACTCTTCTTTCCTTTGCAAAAGGAAATGCACTCTCTGAAGAGGCATGTGCCAGGACTGGTGAGCTAGGATTCTTCAACAAGTAAGGATCTGTCTACATTTGGGGCAGCATCTTAGGAAAGCCTTCAAGGGAATCATGCCTGGAGTCCCGTCTGACTTAACTCATCATCACAGTCCTTCATCACAACATAATGAGTGTTATTACTTCCTCATGTGGCCTGTGGGCTTCGTTAATTAAAGAATGGAAAGGTAAGTAGTTCCAACCTTTTGCTTTTAATTAATCAAAAGATGTGTTTTCCATCTTCAAGTTGCTGGGCAGCAAGTAAAGTATTTAGTCTGCCTTCCAATACCCAAAAGGGTTCAGTGAAAAAACTCAGCAACTGGTTTGAGATTGTGTAGACAACATAGTAGATGACTGGCTCTCCTTTTCTTTGTAAAATTTAAATCAATTGTATTGGTCAGACGACTGCCTATAATATAGTAGTATCTGAAGAAAAATTAAAGGTTGTCCCGTATCATTTCATCAATATAAATAAAACTTCCCTAAAGAAGAGATCCATATCTTAAACTTTGTGGGTATTTGTCACAGTACTAGGTAATCAGGAGGCACTCAACACAAGAAAATAACTGGAACAAACATTTATTGGGTGTCTATATAATGCCAAAAACTCATGCTCTTTTTGTTAAACTATGCTGCCTTCCTGTTCACTTGATTTACTGAAACTTCTAGCATTGGGGTCATTCTTCAACATTAAAACATCCTCTACACTTTAAATAGAAATATATTACCTGGAAGGAAAACACGTCAACATTAACCAGCATCACACATTAGCGAAAGCAGCACTTCAGAGAATGAGCAGGGCACTAGTATATTTCCTTTTGGAAGAAAGTTAGGAAAAGCCTGGAACATGGGGGCAAGTAGGTTTTAGCTAGTGTGCCAGCCCTCCACAATTAATGTTGACTGCTACCCAGAGCTCTGTTTTGAGGAGTCTGGAGGCAAGGAGTCTGGAGGAAAAGAGTCTAAGCTCTGTAGAAAAAAGAATTGCAATTGCTCAGTGATATCTGCTTTGCGGGAGGCTTGATAGTGAAGAGTGAAGAGCTGTAGAGTCCTGCTAAGAAACCTGCCCTGCTAAGCCACTGAGAAAGAAGTAGAGGTATTAAGTGAAAATTGTCCCATCTCTTATTCAAAACCCAAATCTTTTTTTTTTAAGATTTTATTTATTTATTTGACAGAGAGAGAACACAAGCAGGGGAGTGGGAGAGGGAGAAGCAGGCTTCCCGCTGAGCAGGGAGCCTGATGCGGGGCTCGATCCCAGGACCCTGGGATCATGACCTGAGCCTAAGACAGACGCTTATGAGTCACTCAGGTGCCCCCAAAACCCAAATCTTTTACGTTTACCTCTGTAAGAGAATCTCTCAGCAGAGAGGGAGGGAACAGAAGACCAGAAAGCCTCTACCATTCACTCCTTCCAGATTCACTTTCCCATTAGAGATATCCTCATACCATGGTGGCTAATGAGAAGTCAGGCCATGCTCCTGTCCACTTAATAAATACTCTAGCTCATGTGTAGACATGTGGCCCTTCCCTCAATAGCCCATAGCATGGCTGAAATAGTCAGTTTATTCAAAGAAGTCATCCCTGAGAGGAGCTGGATGCTAATAAGTATATAGAACAGAGACTTCTTAAACCTTTTTATGTCCTGGAAAACTTTGGCACTTTGGTGAAGGCTGTGGAACCCCTTGTCAGAAAATGTTTTCTGGTTTGGGGTTTTTTTTTAATTAAATAATTTTTTGACTATAGTTGACACACAATGTTACATTAATTTTACATGTACAACATAGTGATTCAACATCTCTATATGCTACGCTTACCCCAAGTGCAGCTACCATCTGTCACCAACAACACTGTTATAATATCACTGATTATATCTCCTATGCTGTACCTTTTGCTCCCATGACTTATTCATTCCATAACTGGAAGCCTGTATCTCCTACACCCCTTCATCCATTTCACCCCCCCACTCCCTTTCCCTCTGGCAACCATCAGTTTATTTGTATTTATAGATCTGATTCTGCTTTTTATTTATTTGTTTATGCATTTGTTTTGCTTTTTAGATTCCACTTATGAGTGAAATCATATGGTATTTGGCTTTCTCAGCTGACTTATTTAACTCAGCATAATACCCTCTAGGTCCATCCATGTTCAGAATAATGTTTTTAAATGTGTAAAATAAAGGATTAAAAAGGAAACTTGTAATATTTAAATGTGGTCAGCAAAATATTAAAATAAAATATGATCTAGTAAAATATGGGCTTCTTTATCAATATATTAAGTAACAAGACAATATATTTAAAGTACAGGCAAGTTAAATTTTATTTTTTAATGACATTGCAGTGTGAAGGCTATTGGTCTTTATTTGACTTGGAACATTGAACTTTGAGGTGGCCCTTAGCTTACCTCCTTCCACATATTCATAAGAAATACAAGAAAGCAACATAGATGTCTAGATCACCAGGATGAGTACACCACCCTCAGCGTTTGGTGGTTGAATGATCACTAGGCAGAGAGCTGCCCCATTTTTGGCTAACTATATCAACTGAATATCTATAGATCCTGTGCAATCTACAACAAATGTAATAACAGTCACAATTTCAAAGTAGTGATGAGCATAAAAAAATATTTAGAGATGTCTGAAACCATAATGTGATATCAAAATATCTGTGATTTTTATTGTTGAAAAAGCCATTGATACAGCCTAAACTTCTGAGGTTTGTTGCTACAGTGGAGTGAATTAGTAGACCTACCTTTTCATCCTTTTTGTATTCACATTTTTTCTTTGTGACCTTGCAATTACTCTCACAAAATGCAGAATGTACTTTTTCACTCTAGGCTTTAGACTCAGCCACGTGACTTATTTTGGCCAAAGCTATAGGCAGAAGTGATTGTATGCCAATTCTGAGCCTAAGCCTTAAGAAACCTCATGTGTTTTCACTGTTCTTAGTGCATTCTCCAAAACCATGGGAAGGCCTAGACTAACCCAGTGTCTAAGGAGAATAAAAGACACTTGGCATAGAACTGCCTAACCAACCTACAAAACTGCAGCAAAAAGCAGAATCAACCAGCTGAGCCCACTCTAGATTAGACAACCCACTAATACATGAGTAAGATCTAACTAAGATCAGAAGACCTATTCCAGATGACCTACCAATGCATGAAAAATGAATGTTTGTTGATGTATGCCACTGAGATGTTTTGTGATTGTTCTGCAGCAATAGCTGATTGATAGACCAAATGCATAATTTAAGGAAATGGGAAATTTCAGTTAGATCCTGTGTGATTTAGTTAGAGGTTAATAAACATTAATATGTAGTGTTTTCTTTCTTTATTTTAAGATTTTATTTATTTATTTGAGAAAGAGAAAGTGAGAGACAGAGCACGAGCAGAGGGGGAGGGAGAAACAGACTCCTCGCTGAGCAAGGAACCAATGTGCAGCTCAATCCCAGGACCCCAGGATCATGACCTAAGCAGAAGGCAGACGCTTAACGACTCAGCCACCCAGGCACCCCAATGTGTAGTGTTTTCTAATTCAAGTTCACAAACCCTTCTAAAGCAGAAAGGGCACCCACAGCATAACTTTCAAGTTCTGCTAAGATAACTGAGACTCCAGAATGGTGCCAAAATAATATTACTGAAGCCTGAGGAAGATATAAAAATAAATATAACAACAATCCTAAAAAAGATGAAACCACACGCTGACAGCAACAACAAAAAACTAGTTAAAACTATGTTGTTAATGTTTTATAGTAGATTTAAATTTATTTATAAAATTTTTAAAATTATTGTTTATGTTTTTACATTTTTGTTAGACATGTAAGTTAAATAAATTGAGCATTAAACAAAGTATAAATAATTGTGGCTGTTGCTGTCCACATTAAAAACAAAAGCAAACACAAAAACTCTGAGCATTAAAAATCTGTCACTACTTTTCTCTGTGTTTAAGCCCAATTATTCTCAGTCCTCCTCCTTCTGAATACTGATGGGGTAGAGTTGAGGGACACCTTCCCCCTTCAACTCAAACATTCACCTCCTTCTCTGGTCTAGGAAGAATTAACAGGAACAATTATCCATTTTAGTTAAATTCTTAACCCCAAAACACAAGGATATCGTGCTCGCTTCGGCAGCACATATACTAAAATTGGAACGATACAGAGAAGATTAGCGTGGCCCCTGCGCAAGGATGACACGCAAAACACAAGGATATCATCGCATTCTCATGTCCAGGAAAGGACTTTCACAAGAGACCATGGTACAGTTTGTAAAGTCTGGGCTACCTGTTTTAAAAATCACCATGTGTGATGATTATTTGTATGTGTCACCTTGGCTGGCCAGGGGGTGCCCAAATTAAATATTATTTCTGGGTGTGTCTGTGAAGGTGTTTCAAAAAAAGATTAACATTTGAATCAGTAGACTCAGTAAGGCAGATTGCCCTCCACAAGGGTGGGCATTATCCAACCCATGAGGACCTGAATAGAACAAAATGTGGAAGAAAGAGGAATTTGCCTCATTTGCCCCTTTTTTCCTGCCTCACTGATTGAGTTGGGATTCTCATTACATCTTCTCTGAGTATCAGACTAGGAGCTACACCATAGTCTACCCTGATTGAAGCCTTCAGACTGAATTATACCACTGGCTTTCCTGGGTATCCAGCCCACAGACAACAGATCATGGGACTTCTTAGCCTCCATAATTGTGTAAGCCAATTTCTCATAATATATACATATATACATATATACATATCCTACTGGTTCTGTGTCTCTGGAGAACCCTGATTAATATACTATGTATGGAGCACCAACAAAATGGCATAGTCACTCTATACTAAGATCAACTAAAATCTTTTCATTTCTCTCAGTTTAATTTGATGCAAAGATCAGGCCTCTACAAGAGCAAATGCTTGAACCAAAAGACATGCATGTCCTAAGTGTAATCAATAATTTTCAGGAATAGGACAGCTTAAATCCAAGTTTAGGGGTAAATTATCTAACTTTTCTGGGTCCCTCTACAAGCACATTCAAATAATATTACCAACAGAAATTTGTTGGAAATCTTGCCCAAACTTCCATTGCTCTTATTCAAATAAGAACTGGGAAAAGACTGAAACATCTTCTTAAAAGTATCCATGAACTAGCAAGAAAGTAAGTCATAGTTAGGCCAAAACAAAGTGAAAGTAGGAACACAAAAAGTTAAGGAGAGCACAATAAACATCTTTTACCTTGAAAACATTTATCAAATCAGCTGATCTGAGCATTAGTTGTCAAAACCTCATAGGACTTAGAGGACAGGAAACAAGCCCTAGAGATTTCCTAAGGTAGGTGATATAATGGGAGACCTTATTTACAGTGTGAAGATTCCCAAAGGCCTGCGCTCTCAGTGTAAGGATAAAATCTAAACAATAAGCCCCATTTGAAAGCACTGAAGAGAAAATACCTTCCAACATTGGTGCTAAATGGGGGGGGGCGGGGAGAAAAGAAATTCTTTTTGAGAAGTCACCCCATAAACCAGCTCTTATATATAACTGAGCCTAACTTTATACCAACTGAATGGTCTAAAGGACCTCAAAGTAAGAATTTAGTTGACAAGGGACCAGACTCTTAGTGCCCTCAAGTATGTGGTAGAAATAAATGCAAATTCACATTGGAAGAGCCTCAGAGAATTCCAGTCTAGAAAAATGAGCAGCTCTCAGGCAAAAAACCCCAAACAAAACAAAACACAAAAAGGAACTATTAGCAAGAGCCAAACGAAACCACAAACTGCAGAATCAGATCCTCAGTGACTTCAGATACTGGAATCATAACAATCACAATATGAAATAAATACGTTTGATATATTTCATCTAATAGAGGGGAGTCTGGATAATGGGATTAAGAAGCAAGTAGAGTTTTAAAAGAATAAAATAGAACTTCTGGAGGTGAAAAATACACTCATTGAAATTAGAAATACAATAAATGGTTTCAACAGCATGTAAGACATAGCCACAGAAGGAATTAATACATTGGAAAACAGAACTAAAGAAATTATCTAAAATTCAGCCTAAAGAGAAAAGAGAAAAGATGAAAAACAGATTAAAATACGTAGATGATAGAATTTTTTAAATATTGAAAGATTATAGCACTTACTGTTATTCAGATATGTGGACAAGATGAAAAATATCCTGAGCCATTCAAGGTCTCAGAAGAATGGTCACACTAAGACTCACATTGAAGAAAGGTTATCAATAAAATACTTAAAAAGAAAAAAAAATTCAAGAGATGTTGTATAAGATATATGCAGTGAAGTTATTTTAAAATCTTAAGGAAAAAAAAGATATTCTACTGAGAAGTTCAAAGGCTACACACTTTGTTTGAATTCCACAAATTTTAAAAGAAATTTAAAATTTGGAATGAAAAAACCATCATACACCCACAAATTTCAATATACTAGAGACCAACATTAGGCACTCATCAGGCCATTGACTGACTTCAGAATAGGTAAATATTATGATTTTTAACTATAAGATAAATTTATAGTAAGATAGATGAATAAATATCTTACTAAAGTTTTTATTATTTAAAACAGTTACATTTGAAGAAAAGAAAAAGAAAAAATATATATACATAATAACCCCTAATTAAATTTTTAGATATATAAAAATGATGACATCAAGGTGGAGAAAGGCAGGAACAAAGTTTTAAGAGCATAAGCATATGTAGACTTTTCATATTGCAAGACTTATAGAAGTCTATTTTCTTAAGTAAAAGGTATTAAAAAGAAACAAAAAAATTGGAGCAAATGGAAATGACAACCAAAGCAATAAAGACAGATCCAATATATCAGTAATTGCAGTAGGTGTAAATGGACTAAAATTGCCAGCTCAAAGTTAGAAATCGTCAGATTGGAGTGTGTGCGTGTGTGTATGTGTGTGTGCACATATGTGTGTGTGCAAGGGAAATAAAAGCAAAAATGAACTATTGGAACCTTATCAAGATAAAAATCTTCTGCACAGCAAAGGAAGCGATCAGCAAAACTAAAAGGCAACCTTCAGAATGGGAAAAGATATTTGCAAATGACATATTGGATAAAGGGTTAGTATCCAAAATCTATAAAGAACTTATCAAACTCAACACCTAAGAAACAATAATCCAGTTAAGAAATGGGCAGAAGACATGAACAGACATTTTTCCAAAGACATACAGATGGCCAACAGACACAAGGAAAGATATTTAACATCACTCATCATCAGGGAAATACAAATCAAACTACAATGAGATACTACCTCACACTTCTCCGAATGTTTAAAATTAACAACACAGGAAACAACAGATGTTGGCAAGGATGTGGAGAAAGGGGAACCCTCTTACCCTGTTGGTGGGAATGCAAACTGGTACAGCCACTCTGGAAAACAGTATGGAGGTTCCTCAAAAAGTTAAAAATAGAACTACCCTATGATCCAGCAATTACCCACTAAGTATTTACCCAAAGGATACAAAAATACTGATTTGAAGGGACACATGCACCCACCCCCATGATTATAGCAGTATTATCAACAATAGCCAAATTATGGAAAGAGCCCAAATGTCCATTAACTGATAAATGGATAAAGAAGATGTGGTATATATACATAAAATGAATATTACTCATCCATAAAAAGAATGAAATCTTACTGTCTGTAATGACATGGATGGAGCTAGAATGTATGATGCTAAGCGAAAGACAAATAGCATATTATTTCATCCATGTGTGGAATTTAAGGAAAAAAACAGATGAACACCAGGGGAAAAGAGAGAGGCAAACCTCTCTCTTAAGAGTAAAGAGACTCTTAACTATAGAGAACAAACCGAGGGTTGCTGAAGGGGAGTTGGGTGCGGGGGGACAGGCTAAATGGGTGATGGGTATTAAGGAGGGCACTTGTGATGAGCACCGTGTGTTATATTTAAGTAATGAATCACTACATTCTATTCCTGAAACTAATGTTACACTACATGTTAACTAACTGGAATTTAAATAAAAAACTTGAAACAAACAAGTAATTAAATTGTCTACAAGTAATAGAACTCCATCCCCAAAGACGATTTAATGATGAGAATGTTTATAATCAAGCACAAAAGTCCATACAGGAGACACATCAGCATGTCTGCTTTGCCCCCAAGCTAGCTCCCCTTATGATCACAAGATAGCTCCTACACTTTCAGTCCTGTGCAGACACAACCACATACTGCAGCAGCAGAAGCCTCCGCTTCTCCTCTGAGACCTCTTTTAAAGAATAAAAAAATTTTCCCAGAATCTTCCCAGCAACCTCTCATCACCTTTCATTGACTAGAATTTTATCTCTTGTTCATGTCTAAATGATCTCTATCAAGGATAATGGGAAAACAATGACTTATCAGGATTACCCCAGTTGCTGAGAGATGGGAACATGTGAAGGATGTACATCATAGGCGAAAGGTAAACACTCAAAGAGAAACTGAAACTCTATTAGCAAGAAAAGAGAGAGAGAGAAAGAGTTGTTATGTAGGCAATCAAAAATGTCTGTTACAAATGGGGATAAGAATCTTTCCCACAGGACTGATGTAAGAATAATATTTGAAAGTCCCTAGAAAGTGACCCAAGGAAGGCATTTCATGAATATTATTATTCCTTCCCTTTTCCCTTTTTTTTCATTTCCTCCATTTACAGTCTTGGCTTCTCTTTCTCTCCCCCATGTATTGGTTTAGGGTGTTAGAACTAGAGTATGTTAACCAGCAGCCTGGGAAAAGTCCCATGGTGCTCACTCCACCCCTGTGCTGACAAACTGTAGGTTACCCTCAAAAGCCACAAAGCTGATCTCCAACTGCCTTCTGGGCATTCCAGCTGAGAGGACAGTGAAATAGTGTAGAAGATCCAATTAGCAGTAGCCTGGTCCTCGTGAGCATGTACTCACTACTGTCCAATTATCATCCTGTACAGTCAATTTATGTGCAGGTTTTGGTAATTGCAGATTTTCTGTTTAGTCATCATAATAATTTACACTTAAACATTTTGTAGGTTTGTTGGACAATTAAAGTGACTACACATGCAGTTAGAGTTTCAAATTAGAGCCCTGTAATTCATATGCACACACATAATTTTATGGAGAGAATAGCATAGTTAACACTGTGAATATAATGACTTAAAATACTAAGTATATCGACTACAGCAAAGTAAAGAATCATTATTTCCTTTTGCCTGATGGACTTCTGTAAACTGACTTTATAGGTT